GGATGGAATTGGAGTTGTGTCTTAACCGTTTATGCGACATCAGCCCAAGTAGTCGGATGTCATTTTCCAAAACAACAGGAAAGTGTGGCCCTCACTTCACAAAACATTGATAATTTAACTTGCAAACTTGGTTGTTTCTGCTCCATCTATAAAGGTGTTGAAAAAAGAAAAGGGCACAGACAATGTAGAAGAGCATAGCGAAGTCAGATGAACTGTTGACATGCCCTTGGTAGCTTGGTCTATTTATACAGTACTACCTGCAAATTGGGAACAATGCCGTTGTCTCCAAAATTGCAGCTGTTACCGCAGTTAAATGTGTGGGTGAGACTCCTCACAATCATTGCGATAAATTTCATTGCAAACATAAACTTATTCAAAGCAACTGATGGATCTTCTGTAGTTCACTTCAATTCCGCGTGGGCGGTTAATGACCAAATAAGTTTGCGGCTGCTGCTTGCTTGTTCGAAGCCAAGAATATGGTTCGAGGAAGATTTAAAAGTTCCAATCAACAGTAACCTTGTCCTGATCAATGAAATGCAAAGCTTGGATCAATGTTTTGAATCATACAAAACTTGGGCAGGAGACACTGCGTGTAAAGCGTGCAGTAGTCACTATAATTTCCTATCGCAAACATCTTTCATTGTACAGAAGTGACCTTTCCGCTGTTTGACTAAAGACCTGCCCCAGCTGACCCTGTTCGGTTGCTACATAGATGGATACGCAGAACACATAAAGCTACGGTGAGTGGTCCTCCTTCGACTCATGTGCGTGCCTGGGTCTCAACATCAACGGGCACTGGAGATATTCAGATCTGTTCGGATATCCACAAATTGTCATGATCCTTTCATGCTCTGGAGAGAGCGATTTTGTCGGAACGTTAGCCTAATGAAGCTTATTTAGAGTTCAAGAGATCAGCTCAGTAATAATTCATGGTGATTGCTGGGAGATACATCCACACATTTGGCTGCGGAAACAGCCGCAATTTTGGTGACAATGGCATTGTTTCTGATTTGCAGTCAGTACTGTATAAATAGGCCAAGCCACCAAGCATGTCAGCAGTTCAGCTAAATTCGCAATGTTTTTCTATATTGTCTGCGCCCTTTTCATGCTCAACACCTTTACAGATGGAGCAGAAACAACCAAGTTTGTAAGTTAAATTATCAGTGTTTTGTGAAGTGAGGACCACACTTTTCTGTTGTTTTGGAGAAGAGCATCCGACTTCTTATGCTAATATCGCATGAACGGTCAAGACACATCTCTGTTCCTATCTCCAGATGAAATATTTTTGAGATTGCGGATTTCATTAGTTGGAAAAAGTTTTGAAAATAGTTCCACATAACATTTAACTTATACCATAT